CTACCTGGCCTTCTCTCGAAGCTCTTTGTAGCAGTGGCAGTAAAAATGCAAAACTTTGTGTTTCACAATATCATCTAATGCCTTTTTTAGGCAATGAAAACTCTGTGGGCACTGGTTAGGTGATGGACAGTTGATCTGCAAGCAAAGACTAACTAAGGTGAAAAGGTAAGTGAGATAATACCTTTAATAGTGCAATTAATTTTTTTATGGCTTCATATGAGAGTCGATTTGATATAGCATATTGCATTGTGGAATACCAACGTAGAGGAATTTGAGCTACAAATACTACCATTATATGCACATGCACTTCATGCCTGTATACCTACCATACTGATGCTAACTACACTTTCATTTAGACTTGTTTCCAAGGAGCATGTATCACTGCAGCCACCCTCACCTAACTCAATACTGATTTGCTGAAGAACGAACAAAATAACTTATTCTCATCATCACTATTAGTAACAATTTCTTCTGTATTTGATTGTTCATCACTCATTTCAGACTGCTTATCTATATGTATACAACATTAAAACACAACAATGAGCATAAATACACCCTTAAAGCAGTTTTGAATACATCATGCACATCACATACTTTGCATGCATGAGTGAAACATTTTATATAATTATAACTGGTGCATGCATTAACTTTCTCCTATACTTTCATATTGTTCCACTTGATTGTCTACAATTATTTCAGTTTCGACACATGAATAACCACTGTCAGCATCCTCATCAACTTTTTCATCATCTGAATCTGCTTGATGTTTTAAAAACATTTAGGCTTCATGCATTGATGTTCTAACTTAAGCTGCTACATAAATTTAAATCACTTCCAACTTCATTAACATCTTGTCATCATCTGCATCAGTATTACTTGCATTAGTATCACTATATGTTCCTATATAATACACCACGATCATGTAATTTATGCATGCAGTTTGATAAGATAAATGCACATCTGCATTTCAATAAAATAGATATAGTTTACCTTTATTTAGGTATTGTTCCTTGTGAGACTTCTTCTGTATTTTAGCTAATAAATTTATTGTATTTTCACTTGACTGCCTTTTTTTGTAGGAGGAAGAGCTTAGATAAGTTACTGTAGCTTCCTTTCTCTTCCTCCATGCTGTTGCTTTTGGCACTGTTAATGAAGCATCAGTGAAGTACTTTCTGTACTTAATCTTTTGTGCCATGAATTAAAAAAGCTGACTCTAAGTTCCTAATACTGTACTGTGACAATAGTACAAGTTAATAACAGGTGTTAATTAATAATGCGTAACAATTAATTTATAAAAAACAAGGTGCGCATGCGTTGTAGGTACATCACCACTCACATTGCTATTTTTGATGTTGCAGCTGCACTTATCTTCTTCACTAGTCTGTGGCTCTAAAAACCATTCTTATTTTCCACAAATTTTCTCCAATTTTTGCTTTTTGGCTTCATTCAATACTATTCTGTTAGTTAATGGACTATATTCTCATTATTCTGCCCATATTAACGCACAGTAAGCTACAAGTCAAAGAGAGTAAGAAACAAGACCTTAAAGGCATTGGAATGATGAAAGTCAAGATAAAGGTATTAACAGTAAGGGAATTATTTGACTGATCTATGTAGTATAAAGTTAATTTAATAGTTTCGTGTACTATATCCTTATAAAAAAGTGATGGTGCTGAGCATGAGTATGTAGTTCGATCGATACACCTTGAAACGGAGTGTGGGCAAAAATTTCTCAAAAAGGACTTATATGTAGGCAACAACCTAATATGGAAAGCAAAGAGATGCCCACATGCATTGATGCTACTACAAATACATCATATATATGTCCCATACATTGTATAAATGTTACTACTATTATGCACTATACCATAGGCACTAAACCATCTAAAAGGATACGTATTATAAAAGACTCAGTTTCTGATGAAGGCATGGCAATACTAAATGTAATTTAAAGTATTATAGTTTTAATATAGAGAATGATGACTTTCACTTGTCTGGATTTTCTCAATAAAAAAGTTAGTTGCATGTATAATAATATTGACGTATTTTCTTTTAGAAAAGCATATGGATACTCCTACTGAGAACGAGATGTTTCAAGAAGACAGAAATTCCAGAGTTTGTATTGGAAATAACAGTTCCTGAAGGTACATGTTACATATGTATACAAATTTGATTTGTGTAATATTACATTATAGGAATTCCGAATGAATTTTTTTGTGAGACGCTGAAGACAAGAAAAGAAATCCATACAATGCTATAATGTACAATGATATTGATATTTATTACTATAGAATGTAATTGCATGTAGGCCAAAGCAAATTTTGTACCTATCAAGGCATTTCGTATAATAATTATTTACAACGTACATTACATTTGTGTAGACCAATTTTAAAGGTTTTTGAACAGCCATTTTTGAAAAACAAATATTGTAGTAAATAATATTAAAGTTATAATGCTTTGTCATTGTTCATCTTTTTGCTTAGTAATATGTGACCATAATTGACAAAAGGTACCTTTATTGCGGGTAGTGAAATTTGTCTTTCTAGCCTAAGAAATCCAACTTCCTGAGCCCCATTTATCATGAAATTACTCCACAGGATGCAAAAAGTTACCATAAAACTTTTAGAAACAATGATTGTCTAACAAAGCACTCACAGTTTGATATTTTCCATTATAACGATCAATTTTAAAATTTGCCATAAGGGCCCTTTTGTCAATTATGGTCACATATTGAATAAAAATTGAGCACAATTCTGAAGTTGTTGAAACATGGCCCTGGAGTAATTCAAGTCGTTATGTATATTAATTCTAACCATCTTTTGCTGTAGAAGGAAGACTTGTTTATAAAAGAAGAGAAGACAAAATTTATCTTGGTAAAAAAACTATGTAAACAATAAATGTTATAATTACTAGGTAAATGGACTTGATTTGTTACACATGTGCTGTGAATCCACATAAGTATGCACTTGCCTTAATGGATGCAATGTTTACAGAGGAGGAGATGGCTTTTTCGTGTTTTAAAGAGTCCAAACGAAGCACTAAGAAACCATTAGACAAAAACAAAATTGAACTATTGGAAGGTAAAAGCTAAACATAATAATAATAATAATGATAATAATAATAATTTATCTTTTCAAAACAAAGAAAATTTAGGGACAAGAGTTGTAAAGAGAAAAAACATGGACAGGAGAATTTTTGAAGGACTAGCACATAGAAATGTGTAGCCTAAAGTAAACATTTAAATTAAGAATTGAAACATGAAGAACAGGAACACACAAAGTGGAATGTATGAGGGGAGTCTGAATCAAAAAAAGAATTAAAATGTAACCAAAAAAATCAATAATTTGTTTTTTAATAGAGGGATAGGATTTAGAGAGGTGTAATTTGTTCCACAATCTCACAACACGAGCAAAGTAAAAGTGTCTGGTAGTAGACAATCTATGATATTTACAATACAGTTTCCCAGAAGAACCAGATCGAGAACCTGGCCTACAGAAGGTAACGAAAGAGAAGATGTC